TTTCACAACAAAATTTAAAATATGAAATATATGCCTGCCCAATTAATCATAGAGAGGACACAATACATAATTTGTCTTTTTTTTCACTTGACTTAGAATAATCACTTACTACATCTAATACTAAGATTCAACCTTTATTTGACATAGCATTTTTCTATAAAAATATTTCTTAGGTAAAGGTAAATTTCAGTTGATAGCTTAACATATCTAAAAGTCTGAGTTTTTAAATATAACAACTTAATAGTATTCGTTAATAAATAAGCAACAAAATGATACCACACACCAAAGAAAACTGAGAACCACAGGCAACAGCCAGCAACCTGAGAATTTGGAGGTTGCCATCCAACTAGAGCAAGTAAGTATGGGTTAAATTTCCATAGTAGTAAAAGCAACAGAAAGCCAAATTCAGTCCATTCAAGCTACAAACTAATTATCCTGTGGTTTGGGCACAAATATTATTACTGTATCTATCTTACAACTTAAGAGGTTACAATAAAACTCCTAGTTTTTGTACATTTCTATCAAAATATCACTTCACAAAAACCAGTGAGTAGTTAATGGTTTGCCAAAAATTCTATTTGTTCCTCAGTGTTTTAGTAAATGCCACTATAAAAATGAAAGAAGGCTGGGTGTGGTAGCTCAGCCTGTAATCTCAGCACTTTGGGAGGCCGAGGCAAGAGGACTGCCTGAGCACAGGGGTTTGAGACCCAGCCTGGGCAACTTGGTGAGACCTCATCTCTGCAATAAACCACAGAAAAGTAGCCAGGCATGGTGGCGTGCATCTGTGGTTCCAGTTACCTGGAAGACTGAGGCGGAAGGATTGCCTAAGCCCAGCAGGTCAAGGCTGTGGTGGCTGTGAGTGTGCCATTGCACTCCAGCCTGGGGGACAAGAGTGAGACTCCAACTAAAAAAAAAAAAAGAAAGAATAGAAGTTGTCCACAAATAACTAAGGGGTAAGTCTCCAAGGTTTTACAGATAACATGTATACATCATTTTACCCTTTCCATGGTTTTCTTACATAATGTTTTCCTATCTGGACAGCAACACTATGAGGAAAGCAGGAGAGAATTATTATCCACATTTTAGGAATCCAAGCTCACACAAGAAGATAAATAACCAAAATTTAAAACACAAGTTTTCTGTTTCTCCCATTATACCACATTGCCGTGTACAAGCTGGAGCTTGGGATCTGAAACCCATCTTCCCACAAAAGTAATATCACACACAGTGGTTTGCAATCTAGACTAACCCACAAAGACTTAACTCTTAAAAGCCTGAACTATCAAAAAGGAATATAAGCCGGGCTCAGTGGCTCAGCCTGTAATCCTAGTGCTTTGGGAGGCCGAGGTGAGTGGATTACCTAAGTCCGCGGGTTCAAGACCCACCCAGGGCAACTTGGCGAGACCTCCTCTCTACAATAAATCAAAAAATTCACCGGGCGTGGTAGCACACGCCTGTAGTTCCAGCTAATTGGAAAGTTGAGGAGGAAGAATCGCCAGAGCCCAGCAGGTCGAGGCTGTGGTGGCCAGGAGTATGCCACTGCACTCCAGTCGACAGAGTAAGACGCCAACTCAAAAAAAAAAAAAAAACCACAAATTTTTTTAAAAAGGGATATAATACCACATAGTTAAAAGCAGACATTTGTGGACTGCCTGAGCCCCTAATATACACAAACAACATCACTTATTTGTTAAGAAATATACCATATCTTGCAGAGAAACAATCCTATTTATAAGAAAGACTGGCCACCTTTTCCAATGCCCATCCTCTGAAGGCACAGGAGTCCCTTTCAGCACAGGAATGGAATGGAAGCCACAAACACATCCATCCCCTTCCTTCTTTCTAGTCCCAGAGGCCAGTGATCTCCCCACCAGTAAAGATATAGGAATACAGTGACTATGGAATACTCTTTACTCTCTGGGATTCTGAAGGCATCCAGCTCAAGTAGAAAGTTGTGTTCATACATACTCGATATGTGAAAGACATGCACTCATCAGAAGCACCCATAGCTGGAACAGTGAACAGACTCATTTCTTTCCCCAGCCTAATTTCTCAGCACCCCAGTGGAAGGAGTTCAGAGACTAAAATACATCTCAGAGGGAGGAAGTGTAGGTGGGTGACAACCACCGTGGGCACACAGGGCATGGTTATTCATGAGAAATCTTCTTTACTTACATCCAAATTTTAGAGACTGTAATAAAATTAGAAAAAAGTGACTGAATTTTTTAAATAATTCATCTGACTTGCTCAACAAGTAGGAAATTAAAAGGAAAACATTAAACCCTCAACTTTCTTTTTCAAAGAGTATCTTCTACTTAACAGGTATGCAAATTACTCAAATGAAGGTATCCCTAACAGCTGTGAAACTCACAAACACTGTGCTTTTCTATAGGCCAGCTGTAAAGGAAAAGGTGGCAAACACAGAATCTGGGTGAGCAAACAACTCCCGCTTCCTTTCCCCTCATATTATGGAATGGGAGAGACACTAAAAAAAACCACACGGGTTCGTGACCCGCCTGGGCAGCAAGACCTCATCTCTACAATAAATCAAAAAATCAGCCGGGCCTGGTAGCGCATGCCTGTAATCCCGGCTACTTAGAAGGCTGAGGCGGAAGGATCGCCGGAGCCCAGCAGGTCAAGGCTGCGGTGGCCGGGAGCGGCCACTGCACTCCGGTCTGGGTGACAGAGTGAGACTCCAACTCAAAAAAAAAAAAAAAACCAGAGGGCCAGGCACAGTGGCTAATGCCTTAATCCCAGCTCTTTGGGAGGCTGTGATGCAAGGATTGCTTGAGGCCAGAAGCTCTAGGCCAACCTGGGCAACATAGTGAGATTCTCCCTCAAAATTAAAAAGTAAAATAAAAAAAGAAAATATCAGAGACTTCCTATATCTTAAATATCCCTCTCTCCTTACATCTCCCCAAAATAAAAAGCAAGGTTACTGCATCCAGAAGTCAACGTGATAGAGTAGCGTGGTTGCTGAGACTGCCTGGCAGCATTGGAATCACCTGGAATGTCTAAAAAAACTTTAAAAAAGATTCCCTGATAAAATTCAAAGGTGGAGAAGAGGAATCTGTACTTTTACATTGCTCTGCAGAAAACTCTGGCAGTCCGACATGCTCAAGAGCCCAGAATAGTTCATACTCATCCGTCTTGCCTCTACTCTTGCCAGACCTTGAAGAAGCCTTCCTGGTCTTTCCTCTTTTTTCTCTAATAAACTTTGTTTTAAAGTTTAAAAGCCGGGCTCGGTGGCTCAGCCTGTAATCCCACACCTTTGGGAGGCTGAGGTGAGTGTATTGCCTGAGCCTGCAGGTTCGAGACCCGCCTGGGCAACTTGGCGAGACTACATCTCTACAACAGATCAAAATTTAGCCGGGCGTGGTAGCGCACACCTGTAGTTCCAGCTACTTGGAAGGCTGAGGCGGAAGGATCGCCGGAGCCCACCAGGTCGAGGCTGCGGTGGCCAGGAGCGGCCACTGCACTCCAGTCTGGGTGACAGAGTGAGACTCCAACTCAAAAAAAAAAAAAAGTTTAAAAAAAAAGCCTTCCTGGGGACCCTCCCCTCCCATGCCACATCCCTACCCTATGTGCTCCCAGAACATCCTGTACAGCCTCTTATCTTGTGAGATTACAGTTGTCAACATATTGGCTACCCAGTGGAACTGTGAGTTTTTTGAGGGCGAAGATTATGTTTTTCAGACTCTCCAATATAGCCTAGCACAATTTCTGGGTAGAAATGTTCATCAAAGAAATGACTAACCAATCAGAAATCACAGATTCTATAGCTTTTTCCAACTGTGTGAATTTAGTTAATCTACTTCTCTAAGTTTCAGTTTTCTCTACTCAAAATGAAGAGATGGAAGTAGATAATTTCTTATGAGCCATAGAGCCCTAATCATGAAAAAAACTGTATCAAATCATAGCGAGGTTTTATAAGGCTGCAAACAGTAAGTGGCACAGACTACATAGTCAATAAATACTTGCTGAATATACTGGTGCATTTCCTAATTTTTCTACCCACAAGTAACCTGGATAATAGGAAAATCTGTAATACTTTCAGTGGCGGTAGCCCCAAATATCATGTTCGGTATTGTTTTTACAATGACATGAAATGCAGATTTAGATATGTATGTGGTTCCAGCAGTATTTCAATCAAGTGAGCACTGGTTCTCTAAAGTTTGTGGATGAAGCTCTCAAGAACTAAACTTATCTAATAAGTGCATATTTAATGAAAAGTTTAACTATTTCAACACTTTGAGGTCCCTGAGAGCAGTGATAATGTGTAACTTGTTCACTGATGGACCCTCCCAATGTCAGCAAAGTGCCTGGCGCATACCAAACAGCTAGGAGGCATTTGTTAGATAAGTGGGAACTACAGAAACTAAAAGTGGCTCCAGAATAACTGAAGGAGGTTAAAAATCATGGAAGGGTTTGACCCACTGTTTTCAGAAGTAGCTTATAAACTACAGTATGATCTGGCTCAAAATTGTGTGAGACGTCTTAACATTAACTGTGATCATTTTGACAACACCATATAATAGAGACAACTATTATTATTATAATTATTATTATTTTTTATTATTATTTGAGTAGGAGTCTCACTCTGTCACCCAGGCTGGAGTGCAGTGGCACACTCACAGCCACCGCAGCCTCAACCTGTGGGGCTCAGGTGATCCTTCTGCCTCAGTCTTCCAAGTAATTGGAACCACAGGTATATGCCACCACGCCCAGGTGATTTTTTGGTTTATTGTAGAGACAAGGTCTCGCCAAGTTGCCCAGGTTGGTCTCGAACCCCTGGACTCAGGCAATACTCTCAACTCCACCTCCCAAAGTGCTGGGATTACAGGTGTGAGCCACTGCGCCTGGCAAGGCAATTATTATTAACAACTATAACTCAAAAACATGACAAGTATTTAAAGTGAAATAACTTATTATGAAATACACATATAACTAAATTTACTATTCATTGCTTCTAAACACATGCTTACTTATAAAGTACTTACTTTCACAATCATCTTTAATATCTACAGTAGCAAATGGCAGGTCTACCAGAGTATCCAAAGTATCAGCTTCAAATTCCTCTGACATTTTCTTTTTCTTTGACACATTTTCACACTCATTGGAATTAATTTCCCCTTTAATGTATCACAAAAAGAAAAAAAAATTATTTAACTTGTTATTTTTTTTAATGGACTAAATACTTTAATTAAAAGTCACAATTTTTGTAACATATTTTTTATTTTAAAATTGTGAGGTACAGTTTAGGGTTAACTTGTTATTTTTAAAGCTCATTCCTAAAAATAAAAAAAAAAAACAAAAACCTCAGCTAACTGAATTCAATATAAATTAACATCTGCGAAGAAATGTACTAATTGTATTCAAATATATTATAAAGCTATTATAAGCATTATTTATACCACATTTTATATTTTTTAGTGCATTTTTCTGTTAAACAACAAGCTTCTAAAGCTTTAATCGTTCTCTAAAGCACAGTATTCTACCCAGGGTTAGATGAAGACTGAATCAACCAATAATCCTCAAAATCCTTTATAGCTGTATCTTAATTCTAACACATTTTTTCCACGTACTTTTAAAAAACACACCAGAAAGGTTTTGTCAGTCTTTCTCATGTTTATTTTTAACAATGTCCTTTATGTGTTCTTATTTGTATACGTTCTAACCTTTATTTTTTTCTTCAGTGAAGACTTTTAAGTTGTTTCCTTCCTTACGTTTAGCATTGGAAATCCAGTTAAAAATACATGGTTCTAAATATGCTTTTCTGGAAAGTCAATTATTAAGAAGCAAATGATCTTACAGTTTCCATAACTACTCTCCCATGACCATGTACTAACATTAAAGCAGTCTTTCACATCTGGTCTTTGTTTTCTTGATATGGGTGAAACAATCATATACTTTGGGTGGAGGTAAAGGAAATAGAGTATCTGTTTAAACTGATAACGTTAATTGCTAAATTTATCAGTTACTGATCTCACCAGTGCCATGATAATCCATGCCTTTAATGACAGACACAATTGTAGTTTGAACTAAGACTGAATGGAATCCTGGGATATTTATAATTTTTACTCTATGTATTTACTAAACACTAATTTACTACTCAAGATATTAAAGTCGTTTATTTCATACTGTTGTAATGTTCTATTTTCAAATACAATATCTGCACAACATACTCCATTAAGAACATGGCTTACAACATAGATCTCATGGTAAGTCATAGTCTAACATAAGTGTCAAAAAAACCCGGGCTCGGTGGCTCAGCCTGTAATCCCACGCTTTGGGAGGCTAAAGTGAGTGGATTGCCTGAGCCCACAGGTTCGAGACCCACCTGGGTAACTTGGTGAGACCTCATCTCTACAATAAATCAAAAAATTAGCCGGGCATGGTAATGCACACCTGTAGTTCCAGCCATTCGGAAGGCTGAGGTGGAAGGATTGCCAGAGCCCAGCAGGTCAAGGCTGTGGTGGCCGGGAGCGGCCACTGCACTCCAGTCTGGGCAACTGAGTGAGACTCCAACTCAAAAAAAAAAAAAAAAATCCAAATTTTTATTGCCGTTCGAGTCCTCTCTATTATTTTTCACACACATACACCTGTTTTCTGGATAAAAGCAAAAACAACAAAACTTTCTTTTAATTAGTCAAGTTCAATACCAAAAAATACCCTTGTAGTACATTCTTAATAATGCTACTATAATAATTCATTCTATTACAGTTCAAACTTTAAGAAGTATAACTCCTGGTACATAGGATTCAACAAATGTTAGTTTACTATGAGTCATAAACTCATAAAAAAAATTTTTTAATGTGAGAACAAGTTAAATGCTTCCTTTCTATTTTTATGCCTGTGTTTTAACAATACAAATGCAGTTTAGGCTTAAACAAAACTTTTAATAGATCAATTCACATCTTGCACTGTTTAGTTCATGCAGCTACACATAAGGGATCATCACTGACCATGTGGTTTACACTTGAAAAGCTAGCAACAAAAGAACATTTGTGCAATTAAATATAAACAAGGCTGAATAAGAATCAGAGCAAAATGAAACACAACCAACTGTTGTTTGTCTCTATTTTATCTCAATCTTAGAACTTAGTGCTATAAAATTGGCCCATGTACACCTGCATCTCAATACTAGCTCTCAAATTCACATGCCACTTGGAAACACTTAAGGTTCCTGGCAATAGGTAGGGCAGGAGAAACTTGACTTCTGGGCCCTAACACATTCTGACAGCCAGGGGGAAAATTAAATTTTAAAATGAATTAAATTAAGTCATTTTCTAAAACTGAGGAGAGTTCTTGAAATTGTTTAACTTTTAGTTTATCTTGAGTTCAACTAATCACCAATAGTTAGACAGCAAGTGCTGTGGGGGTCGGGCTACACCAAAGGGAGAATCACAGCGGCAATGGTGATAACAGGAGCTGCCCGTTAGAATCACCTGAGGAGGCCAGGCGCAGTGGCTCACGCCTATAATCCCATCACTTTGGGAGGCCGAGGTGAAGAGGATTGCCTGAGTCCACAGGTTTGAGACCAGCCTGGGTAACCTGGTGAGATTTCATCTCTACAATAAATCAAAAAATTAGCTGGGCACGGTGGTGCGAGCCTGTAATTCCAGCTACTTGGAAGGCTGAGATGGAAGGATGGCCTGAGCCCAGCAGGTTGAGGCTGTGGAGGCTGAGTGTGCCACTGCACTCCAGCCTGGGCGACAGAGTGAGACTCCAACTCAAAAAAAAAGAATCACCTGAGGAGTTTTACAAGTTAGGAGAACCAGGTGCCACCCCAGGCCAATTAAATGAGAATCTCTGGAGATTAGGCCAGTCTCTGAAATTTTTTAAAGCCCTGCAGGGTCATTCCAATGTGTCAGAGAAGTCTGAAATCACAGCTCCACAAGATTCCACCTCATTTCTTCCATACCTTGATTCTACACCACACTAAAAGAGTGCCAGAACAGGCGAGAACAATCAACTTCAAAGTACAAACTCAGATCAGACTGCTGCCCTCGGGGTAACCTTTCCTGACCCCTAGCTCAGGGCTGAGTTAGGCAATCCACTCCTTCCAGGTGTCTGACAGGGCTTCCTCCAACCACAGCACAAATATTTTATGTTACACATGTCCACTTGTCTATCTCTCCATTAGGATAAAATGACCATACAATTTACCACCAAACCAGGATGCTTGCCGGGCTCGGTGGCGCAGCCTGTCATCCCGCGCCTTTGGGAGGCTGAGGTGAGTGGATTGCCTGAGCCCGCGGGTTCAAGACCCGCCTGAGCAGCAAGACCTCATCTCTACAATAAATCAAAAAATCAGCCAGGTGTGGTAACGCATGCCTGTAATTCCGGCTACTCGGAAGGCTGAGGCGGAAGGATCACTGGAGCCCGGCAGGTCGAGGCTGTGGTAGCCAGGAGCGGCCACTGCACTCCAGTCTGGGCGACAGAGTGAGACTCCAACTCAAAAAAAAAAAAGAAAGCGATAGGGGAACTTTCCAGAACTATACTCCATCAGCAAGAATGATCACCCTAAGTTCCTTAAAGCGCCTTGTCTTATTACCCTTTGATTCCTCCAGGCCTAGCACTGAGCTGACCTTACAGTAAGTAGGTGCTCACCAAATTTTTACCAAATGACCATATTTGAGAGTGGCTAATAAAAAACTCTGCAATACAGCTATCTCAATGCCCACGAAAAGGAATTCCCAATATTTAACAGCAGCCTCAGCACATCACAGATTCTCTCATTTTCACAGGATGAAGAAAAGGTACTAGTATCCCATTTGACATAAAAATAACAGCTGAAGCATAATATGATTTGCTTAACATCATTCGCCATCGTTTTAAATAAAGTATATCAAACGCAAATGCAATGTTATGTCAAAACAGACGGGAGTCTAGAACTTTTGAAACCCAAGCTATCTATTAAGCTATAGAATAACTGAAACCATTGTTGTAGATAATTATTAACTCAAGCAGGAGAATGGCACTTTCAAGGAAGTCTTGAAAGAACTGCCTCCTGTTCTATAAAACAATGTTTCTCAAACTCAGTATCTGGAGTTCTTCCTCCTGTTCTCTAGGCTTCAGTGTTGGGCAAAGCTTGGTAGATGTGAATTACATACATCCATCATAACTACACTTTCTCCTACAGAAGGCATAAATATTTCACTTTTTGGAAAACCGCCTTAAAATAACCAATTCTTAAACAAAGCCTTTAAACTCTAAGGTCATTGTTCTGAGTACTTTAAAGTCTCTTACAGTTTTGGTCTAACTATAGTTCAAACAAAACTCTATGTGCCAATCCAAATAAAAGTTACGCTACTAAGTAACATCAGTTAACAACAAAAAGATGAGGTAAGGCTGGTAAACTATGTCCTACTACCACTAACAATAACTAACTTTTTTCTTTTATTTTATTTTAAAGTTGTGGGGTACAATTCAGGATTAGGTACGCAAATGGTCATCGTAACAGCTAACATTTAAGCATGTACTTTATGCCAGGCACAGCTGGAAGCACTTTCCAGAGAGTAATTCATTTATCTACACAGCCTTGCTAACAGAGGTACTAATGCTCATTTTACGGAATAGCTGATTAAATAACTTGCCCAAAGGTAAAAAATCTTGGGGCTGGAAATGGAATACAGTCATTCTGTGGCCAGAATCTTCCCTTTCCAGCACACGCCCTGCCATGCCTCTTTTCATACACTGACAATTACGTGGTAAACTGAGGCAATTCTTTTTTTTTTTTTTTTTTTTTTACAGTTGGAGTCTCACTCTGTCGCCCAGGCTGGAGCGCAGTGGCAGACTCACAGCCACCCCAGCGTCAACTTACTGGGCTCCGGCGAGCCTTCCACCTCAGCCTTCCAGATAGCTGGAACTACAGGTATATGCCACCGTGCCCAGCTAATTTTTTTATTTATTGTAGAGACATGGTCTCACCAAGTTGCCCGGGGTGGCTCAGGCAATCCTCTCATATTGGCTTCCCAAAGTGCTGGGATTATAGGCATGATCCACCATGGCTGGCCAGCAATTCTTTCAGAAAGCAACGTGACAAAAGACCCGGAGCCATGGCAACGTTCTTCTTACTGATTTCTGGGTATCTACCTTACATGCTCAAATAGATTCACTACAGATTTGCTTAAACAAAAAAGAAAAAGTGGCCAGGCTCGGTGGCTCAGCCTGTAATCCCATGCTTTGGGAGGCCAAGGTGAGTGGATTGCCTGAGCCCACGGGTTTGAGACCCGCCTGGGCAACTTGGCAAGACCTCATCTCTACAATAAATCAACAATCAGCCGGGCGTGGGAGCGTGCGCCTGTAGTTCCAGCTACTTGGAAGACTGAGAGGAAGGATTGCTGGAGCCCAGCAGGTCGAGGCTGCGGTGGCCTGGAGCGTGCCACTGCACTCCAGTCTGGGTGACAGAGTGAGAATTCAACTCAAAAAAAAGAAAAAGAAAAAGTGGAACAACTTAAATTCCTAAGTGGGAAAATTATTAAACAAAGCATACTCAATCCAATGACGGCAACAGAAAAAAAGTTTACAACAAATACTTTTTAAAAAGAGGATATAAAACTGCCTATGTTGATAATACTATAAGAAAGCGATTGGCAGTAGTGGGAAACTGTCAGGGGAGGGGGGGTAGGATTGGCAAGTGAGGGAAACTGCTAGGGGAGGGAGGGGCATACCTCATCAGCAAGGGTACTTGCATAATCAATGTCTGTATACCTAACACTGAATTGCACCCCACATCTTGATGATAAAAAAAAATTACAAAGAAAAAAAAACGACTTATGTTCTATGATTTAAAATTATGTGGGAAAAAGGGTTTAAAGGACATAAATCATTTCTTGGTTTTTTTTTTTGTTTTCA